GAGAGTTGACCACTGATGAGCCAAGCCCTCCCAATATATCTTTTCATCGAAGTAAGGACAGTAGAAGTTTATATTATGTGTATAAAAGAAACATTCGTGTTTTTAAATCCTTTCATTTTTTATGTATAGATGGCGCGTTATTGCTTTGTGGTAATAGATAATTATACAAAGGGAAAAAGAAACAAAGAGACAGATTAGTAACTTGATCCTTTCTAGTCAGACAGATAGCCATGAATTTATTTACAGTAGTAATTAAATATCTTACAATTCTCTCTGCTATTTACAAATTCATAAAGTACATTAGTAACTGTCTGTTGTCTAAGGCTGTGTCTATCGCTTTTATAACACCCACTTATAAATATGCAAATATAATCAATTCAATTAAACGACCTATTAATTATTTTAAAATAAATTAAGTTCATACACATACATATAGCTTTATTAAGAAAACTGGTCTTATACAGATTCACCACAGGAAGGAAGCATAGATATACTCCAGGTAGCAAAGAATCCAACAACAACCTTCAAGTCTGACACATGTCCAGTAGTCATACCGTGCATAGGTTAGCGTATCACTGAAAATATTTTGCCCAATTCATCTATGTAAGTTGTTCGCCTGTGGGTCCGGCGACCTGTCGCTGGTTCACCGGTACTGGTCCTGCCGCTACATCAGGCCTCTCATCCGGGAGGCATTTACCATCATCCCCCCTGACCTGCAGGGCTGGGTCTTCGGGCATGGCCTAGACGATGACGCCCTGGCCATCCTGGCGTCTGCCAAGACGAGCATTTATAAGTACTTCCTCGGCGTGGAACTGAGGAGTGTACAAGAAGACCTTGTCTGGAGGAGGACTCTCTCAAGGTGGGGAAGCCTTCCTTGCTGAAAACATTTGTATATATATTCCCCTACACTTTATATGCCCTTTTACTCTTTTATTTTTCCACCTTTGTAAAATTTGATTAAAAGAATCAATAAAATTGTTTAAATTGTCTATGTAAGTCATTAGAATTGCTATAATGTCAGTTACATATTTTTCTTTATAGAATTTCTATTATCATTTGCTGAACTGTCCTCTATTAATAATTTTATACTGAGCTTACTACAGTAATATCAAATATAGAAAAACATACCATATAGATAGTTTAGAATTATATAAATACACAGATATGAGGAGAGCCCCATATTTAACCTATCTACAGTATAAGGATTGTAATAACGCTCTCTAACACAGCAAAGACAGCTGAAGGCATGGCAACATTCCCAGATACCGTTGTTAATCGATTTCCCCAGTTCCTTCTTCACATCTCTCCATTGTTTGACCGCCAAGTATTGCTCCTCCTTACCATCAAGTATTTCATACTCCACATTTTAATATAATATCAAATCAATATACAGTTAAACCTGTCTATAGAGCCCCTTCTAAATCGCGCCTTCCTCTCTATAGCGCCTGATTTTAAATACGTAGTACAATGCGATTTACATTAAAAGTGACTTGTCTATAGCACCCCCTCTCTATAGTACCCTATTTTGGTGAGTCCTAAGAGGGGACGCTATAGACAGGTTTAACTGTACCAATGATTATTATTGAACTCTGTTGTTTGTAAAGAACATAGTTGATTGAAGTAATTAACTATCTCTAACCTCTCAGTTTCAATCTATCAAAAATAAATGGTCATTATTCTTTCACCTTTTCCATAATATCGTCTATAGGAATAATCTCCGTTTGGTTGTAAAATAGGTAGCAGGATATATTTTTGATACATTCAATTTTAGGCATAGGTTTACAGCTTAAATTTTATTTCTATTCAAAATAAATACATGAAGTTATATGTATATATGTTTATAGATATTTTGCCGGAAGGAATTGATCTATAGTTTAACAAATTCTGTAGACTCAAACGCCGTGGACCTGAATTACATTAAGAATTGAAATTTCTAATTTTAATTAGTATAGTTTTTTTATTGGTATTATTATTATTATTATTTTTGAATGTTCTATATCTGTGCCACTGGTTTAGTAGTTGTAATTCTAAAGATATATTGGAGATAATATGTGTGTAAATAATCTTTATTTCTTGTATAATTTATTGTTCTAAAATGTAAATTTAAATACCTTTCACTCACTCTCTCTCTCTCTAAAACTATAAATAATTTGTATATATGTAGTATATTCTGAGTTAAGATAGTTCACAACCTTCTTCTGATATTTATTATAACCCCATCTCTATATAAAAATATGTATCAACCTTGTAACAAAGTGACAAATAAACAAAGAGGTAAAGGTAGTCTAGACGGAGACAAAGACCAGACGACGCAATAACCCAGACGAACAGGTGTTTATGATAATGAGTTCAATCACCCCGTCAACAGGTGGCCAGACGTGATAAACAACCCGGCGCCTGACAGGTGGCGTGATTTTACAGGAACCAATCAGGACTCCCCGCCATATGCGGGCAGCCAATATAAAAGAGCCCAGAAATGGGACAAAGTTAGTTGTTCAGTTAGTTGTTTTCAGAGCGACGCCGTTATACGGTCAGTGGGATCTCTCACCCCCCTTCTATCCGCGATGTAGGCTTTGGGCATCCGTGACGCCCGTGGTTCGACTGCCTTCGTCCGTGGTCTACCTCTACCTTCTTGGAGTTACCATCTAGACCTGCCTCTGTCTCTTGCTGTCCCAGTGCGGGAATCCCATCACGCACCCACTACCACGACTGCCCAGTACATTCCACATCGGGATTACTACATATATATTTAAAAACTATGTACATAAAATAGATTAAACATTTACATACAAATATCCACATAGGATATAGCGTGTGTTTTGTAATAAATAAATGAATAAAATCTATAGAAATAAAGGTTGTTTCTACCATCGAAATAGACTCAAAAATTAAACGCCATCTATTGACCGTATCCACAACCTAGCGGCCTCAGGTCAGTAACAAAGCCATCACGTTATCTTTGGCAAACTGAGAAGTGTCTACCTGGAGTCTATAGTTTCGGGCTAATGGCCCTCGTCAGTCTAGGAAAGTTTTTTTTGCTTTAAACAAGAATATAAAACGATTATTGTATCATTTTAGAGAGATTATTTTTTCGAATAAACAAATTCTACTACTATCTTTATTGCTGTAAAAAACTATATTGTAAAAGCCTCCTCTAACATATCAAGGGTGAATAAAAGCAGTAAGTACAGTAAGACAATAATCAATTTAAAATATATAAACGCTGAATATTGAATTAAAAATTACAAAAACACTATGAATGTTTTTTTTGCTTATCCCTAGTACACGTGGTATAGGCCATGATAATCATGGTGGGTAGTTAGCGACTGCTTTTACTGTAAGCGCATCACATGTCTACACATGTGATAAGCAGTTCGACTTTGCATTTACAAATGTCCAAGAGCCCCGTTTGGTTATTGCACTCGCTGGTGGGGTTGGACTTTTACAAGAATCGGGGGCCATTGGAGCATTTTTTTTTAAACAGAAAAAAAGTGTCCAATGCAGGAATCGAACCCGGGTCGTAGTGGTCGAAAACTAAAGGTTTAACCAGCCTTCCAACGACCTCCCACTATGAATATTCTCTAATGATAATTCCTGATTTTTTTTAAAGATTCAATATTACAAAAATTTATATAACCAATTTTTTTTACTATACATTATTTATGGGAATTGGCGACTTTAACTCATAAAATCGTTAGAAATGATTATTCACTATGTCTATGCAACCAAGATCCTAACCCAAAGCATATTTTAATTGGGTTACCACTTGTTTCAGACCAATGGCGTGCAATGATTATTATATTCAAAAGAATATAAAGGTATATTAAGATATTGAAATTATTAGTGATAGATTTAAAGCGAACGAGGATGCGTTTCTTATAAGTTTTAATAAAGTCAAGCTTTCGGGTCAATAACCCTTCTACAGGACATCATATCTGAAGAGAATCTTGCATCATATATTCATATCCATTTTGAGAAAAATTATCATATTTACAAGAAAAATAAACATGTTAGCAAACCAGTGAGAAAAACAATAGTAAGAAATATCAGCGTGCCCTGAGCATGCCAAGAAGAAATTCAAAAGAAGCTTCACGATTAAGACACGATTCAATTTAAGGCTGCATGAGTAAAACAATGAAAAATTAAAAAAATACTATGAATACCTTTTTTTTTGCTTATCCCTAGTACACGTGGTACAGGCCATGATAATCATGGTGGGTCTTCGCATGTTTTACTCATGCAGCCTTAAATTGAATCGTGTCTTAATCGTGAAGCTTCTTTTGAATTTCTTCTTGGCATGCTCAGGGCACGCGGATATTTCTTACTATTGTTTTTCTCACTGGTTTGCTAGCATGTTTATTTTTCTTGTAAATATGATAATTTTTCTCAAAATGGATATGAATATATGATGCAAGATTCTCTTCAGATATGATGTCCTGTAGAAGGGTTATTGACCCGAAAGCTTGACTTTATTAAAACTTATAAGAAACGCATCCTCGTTCGCTTTAAATCTATCACTTATATTATTTAGAGGATTTCAACCTTCTTTATATTGAAATTATATTAAAATAGATATAGAAAACAAAAAAATAACCTTTACTTTAAGATACCGTTAATATAAATTGTGGGGTTTATAACTTTAAAAGCACACAAATATATAATAAACTTGAATTTGTTTATTCAAGTCTCAAAAAAAAAAAGGCTTTGCAAATAGAACAAATAATATGAAGAAGAAGAAAAATAAATTTAGGAAAAGCAAAAACGAAACAAAAAGTACTGGTCAAAAAGAAACATTTAAATCGCAGATTAATATCTTCAACAAAATTTAAATAGATTCCAAGGAATTATTTAGTATTCTTAGAATATTATTCAAAATATATGATACTAAACATTTCTGAATTTGAATAATTCAGAGGAGATTAAAAACATATATATATTTCATAAATATGTTTCAATTTTAGGAATTTCCTCTACATATGATGAATAAATTATTTCCTACTTTATATATAGCTTAAAGCACACCGGTTCTCGTCCGATCACCGAAGTTAAGCAACGTTGGGCCCGGTCAGTACTTGGGAGGGTGACCACCTGGGAACACCATTAAAATAAACAACGATTAAAGCAAACATTTAATGCACAGTATATGATATAAATATTTATGTTTAAAACTAGCAATATATATATATGTTATATAAAGGTATTATTTAAAATGTTATATTAAAATATTAGTTTATTTAAAAATATATTTCATAGATACAAATACTGTTAAATCGACCGCCAGAGGTCATGCTTCCCCTATATAAAACCGATTGTTGTTGTTTCACGTTGGCCGACTCAAATCTTTGTACATTATGTAAATAATCTTTTGTTTCCCTTATTCTTCTCGCTTTAAGCCAGGCATTACTTTAATCAAATTATGTTCTTATATATTACTTTAGCTCAAATAAAACAATCTCTGATCAAAACCATTTTTGTTATTATACTTTCAAGATTCTGGCCATGACTGCATCACCAATACCATTTAGTCCTAAAAAAGAACCAGCAAATAACTAACATAGTATAATCCTCAAGATAATTAAATACAAGCAGAATCTATTATTTTTATATAAGATATATATGTGATGATGAAGTGTTGACTCTCGCTATTCTGTGTTGACCGAGAGGAACAGTCAGGATGAGGAGTTTTCCAGTACCTCTCTGCACCTTGGAAGACCTTTTACAGTTCTCACAAAGTACAGGCAGTTGTGGTCGAGGCAGAGTGGAAAGCTTGGGAATGTCCACACAAAAAACGAAGACACAGTTGCACTAAGAAAGTTCCGTGAACAGATAAAAGTTGAGCTAGGAGCGAAAGATGGGGAGATAGAAGTTTCTTACTGGTCTACATGATGGATGAGATGGACCTGAGGTACAACCGACGAGGGCTCGCGCAGATGGTAAAACTAACTGTATTTTTAGCTAGGAAGGGGGCTTTATATACATTTTCTGAGAAAGGGGGTTCTGCATTTCACCAGATGTGAGAGGGGGCGTGGATTGTCTGGTGAAATTCTACTGGCGCCGTGGCAGTTTCCATTTTTAGACCTTGTTGTGGGAATTCTAAATCTATCTCGATTTTAGACGTTATGACTTCTATCTCTTGCTTAGCTCAACTCTTAATCTATTACAGAGTTTTATTTATTTATCCTCAGTTTGTACACAGTACATTACATATGATGATGTAATGACACATGTCATTCATGCATATAACCATTTACAGATGTGTTTCTACTATACAACATTAAAATCTTGTTATAAGTTATATACAATATGGAGTCGTTGGCTTAAATTACCATATATATAGAAGTATTTATAATTTACTCTATAAATATAAATATTTATTAGATAATAAAAAGGCATATATTGGATTTAATAAAAAAATTATTTTGCCAATATTTCGGCTGGCTGAACGCCAACCTTTATCGAGGCATTACATTTTTGTATACACAAACTCAGCGCCGCATATAACCATATATTAATATGAATTGTAACAAGATCACTCTTAATTATTAATATTTTATAATTACAAAAGATGGGAATATATTGACATCGAAAAGTTGTATAAATTTTATTGATATTTGAAAATATATTTTGACTTTTTTACTTGCTTTAATGCTAGATGAAGTACGGCCATTTTTACCTTCAATTACCTATTTAATTCTTGTAATGATTTGATTGTATATATAATCAACAAAGGATAATTGTATCTTGACACGAATATACGTAGAAGGAATATGGCGTTTTGATTTTTAAAAAATATCAATGAGTTTATATTCATATATCTATAAAAGCATAAGGCGCCTCTCTCGTCAAATTAAACGTCGAAACTAGACTCCATCTATAATCATAATATGTTTTATAATTACAAAATATTTTCTCACAATGAGTTTCTTTTTATTACAAAACGCTAGCTTTCAAGTGATAATCGCTCTTCAACGGGCTTAATAAAACATCGACTATATTGCCAAAAATATTTACAAATATATACGCGCGCAGCGTATGTTGCATAATGATTAATGCGCATATTTTAAAAAGTATTTATAATATTATTTTTAATATATTTCAAATTTAAATTATATATTTATTTATTTTATAAAACAGATTATTACTAGAAAATATTATGTACTATAAAACATTTGTATTTTGATACACTGACTACCCAACCTGCTTTAAACTATGATGTGATAAATAAAGAGAGATTCTAGGTGCAACCTAAAAATATAGTTGTCTTATTATTGACTGGTTTAACCTTGTAGGATGGTTGAGACATGTTCTGGAAAGATGCAAGACGCGTCTGTCAAACCGCAGCATGGTACAACAGTATATTGTAAGATATAGTCGATGTTTTATTAAGCCCGTTGAAGAGCGATTATCACTTAAAAGCGTTTTGTAATTAAAGAGACTAATTGTGATAAAATATTTTGTAATTTTAAAACGTTTTTCACAATTTTATCATGAAAAGAGAATCATATATGTGTTATATGGTTTATATTTAAAAATTTGTTATATATATTAATAATAATGAAAAGTTAAATATAAAATGAATCTATGAAACATAGGTTTTTAAACAGCCATTTACATTATACTTTATTAACAAAATCCCCTATTATAAATACAATTCAGTCTATGGTCAAATATATTTATTTATTGAATTAATCACACAATGATATTAAATTATCGAAAATTCAAATTAATTTTTAAAATAAATTAGAGAAAGGATTGAATAAATATGTTGAGTAGAATTTTATCTCTTAACCCAAAGAATAAGTCATAAACAGGTGGATGTTTTTATCATATACATTTTTGAACAAACGATATAATTGGAAAACTATATTGTCGCGGAGATAAATAAAGCAAGGGCAAAATTGGGGATAATTAATTTATTATAAAGGGTATTTACCTTTTATTTCTTCAATAAAAATTATTTACAAGAGGTATTTAAGGGAGAGAAATTCAGATGATAAAACAACTTATCCCCAGGTAAAGATAATAATAATGAGCGGCGCCAGCCACCGTCCCGTTTTCCTTATTTGCAGATCAGCTTCCTAGAATCCCTCACACCTGTGGTCCCCCCCCCCCCGGGGTCCAGGGATGATTGACAGGTGTCCCATCTGGATGGAGCTTCTTGACAATGTATATTCGAAACCTGGACAAGAAAAAATAAAAAAAATAGTTGTGAATTTTTACAACATATACTTCATATATATTTATAGAATTACTTCATATATCCTTTATATCTATAAAAATGAAATGCGAAATCGATGTTTGTTATCGCATCACGCAAAATCTACTGACTCAATCATTATGGAATTTCGCATGTAGGTAGCTGAAGATTTCGTTTAACATATAGGCTATTCAAAAAACGAAAAGGTTTAATGTGCTATTTTTAAAAAATGTTAAACCAAAATTCCTTAGTTCAAGCCTTTTACCGCTTGGCGGCGCACTGGTCGCGACGATAAATGAATCTGATTGGTTAATAATTTTACACGTTGTTGTTTTGTAATTTTACCCGATTAATGTGTGTCTTTAAAAGGTAAGATTATTTTTATATATTTAAACTCTTTTAAAATAATTTTAATCGATCATTATCAACTAAATACGCCCCCGGAACCTGGGTTAATTAAAACTGTATTGTGAAATTTCGCACGTAGGGAGTTGAGGTTTTGGTTTAACATTTAGGCTAAAAGCACAAAAATTGCATTTCGAAAAACTTTCTTTTCCTTTTTAGAAGGTAGATTTTATTTAATCATTTAGTAATATTTTTTCAATTTAAATTAATTGGAATTATTATTTATTTCGCAGCTTATTCATATATTTTGCTTCGTTTAATTTTAATTAGTGTAAATATAACGATCTACATCTTTAACGATAAGTGTAGTATTTTATCTCATAAGGTATATTATTTTTAGAACAGTATTCTATTTTTTTTCTTTCTTATATTTAGAGTGCGTATAAATTTTATTAAAGTTGTAAAAAGTATATTTATTGAAAAAAGTATGTTTTACAATATAACTTGCTACATATATTTTACTATATGTTTGTTCCATGTAATATGTTTATGCTCTAATAGCATTTATATATATTTATATGGTTCAACCATATTTTTATATGAATGCATTTAGATATATATCCTGACCCATATAGGGTTAATTAATAACTCATTTGACATTTTACCTTTATTTATGGTCTTGGCAATATATATGTAAAGCTTTTTAGGTAAAAAAGAATTGAGGTATATTTTGAAATATAGATAAAAATCACAAGGAAGCAAGACCAGATCCAAATAAATAAATTATGTGTGGTTTCAGAAACAGCATTGTTACCATCTTCAGACAAAAGTACTGAATACATTCAGTAATTTTGTCTTTATAAGGTGACAATGCTGTTATTGAAACATCACACATAATTCGTTTATTTTTTATTTGGTCTTGCTTTTTTGATATTTTTAACATTGCCCTTGACTATTTGAAAATGATGCAAATTTCCTAATTATTTTATGCCATTTTAAAAAGTACATTCTTTTGTAATAATATCTAATTTCCCACATTTTCCTAAAACTGCCAACAATAAACTAATAAAAAAAAAAATCCAAGTCTGGGTATTTCAGTATTGCAGATATATTACATTTTTAAAAGTTGTTTAACTATAGATGTACATGCCGGATTAGGTGCCCTTAAAAATGTTTACTCTGGCTGTTTCTTCTTGAACTGCCGAGAGTGAAGTGGAGAAAGTGAAATTTTCAGGTTGCGAGGCCCATTTCCCTTAATTCACACTAATCCTTTGATTTTTTTTTTCATTTTTTAGATACCAAAGCCAAGTTTGGTTACTTGCACTCACTGGAGGGGTTTGACTTTTTCAAGAATCAGGGGTCATTGGGGCAATTTTTTTTTTCAGAACAAATTCCCCAAAACTGGATTCGATGATCCCTGGTCGTGGTTTTTAAAAATCAACAGTTTAGACCACTCCTCCAAAAAAGCACTCTATACATTAGATGTGTTTGTGAAATTGATCTTATATTTCAGATTATTTTTACCAGAATTTTTAATTTTGATATTTGCAGTTCATCTCCATTGTGCTGA